ATGTGAGCAGCAGAGATAGTAATTATATTTTTGTTTAACAAATATTCCCAGAGAGCCACTGTTTAGAAAAGACAGAAAATATAGTAAAGTTGGCTGTAAAGCAAATCCCATGGGTTTCCATTTAAAAAATAAAAATACCCCAAACAAGCAAATAACCCTGTATTTCCAAGGAAAAGCATGTATGATACTCAACTAATCACTTTTGGTGAAGAGTAAGCAGGAATGATTTTGGAGCCCATGGCATCATAGTTGTACAAGGAATATTCTGAAAGCAGAGAGGATGTTATTTGTGAAACGTGCTTGATTTCAGGAACCTTTTAACCAGGCATCTATCCTTTTCTAGACTACAAACATTTCTTTCATGCCTAGTGAGAAATTATTTGAATTTGAACAACTTTCTCCTTCTCTTCTATTTTAGGATAAGAAGAACACACGGCTAGGCTGGAATACTACCCCCTCCATCCCCACCCAGGAGAGTGCTGTTATTGAATAATAAATCAAGGAATAACAACAGTCAGACATTGAAGGGGAGTTAACTAGTAGGCAAATTCTAAAGTGTCTTCCAATATTGAGATTCTACAACTTCAATTTTTTCCCTGAAATTCATGGCTCCCAGTTATAACCCACTTTATAAAGCCTCAAAATTCAAAATACTGTTAATTTGAAAGGAAGCATACTCATCCTCACAATTGATAGCATACTTTTCCTTCCTTCTTTTTTTTTTTTTTTGAGACAGTGTCTCACTCTTCTTGCCCTGGCTAGAATGCAGTGGCATCATCATAGCTCACTGGAACCTCCAGCCTCAGCCTTCCAAGTAGCTGAGGCTACAGGTGCATGCCAACACTCCTGGCTAATTAAAACATTTTTTTTGTAGACACGGGTCTTGCTATGTTGCTCAGGCTGGTCTTGAACTCCTGGCTTCAAACGATCCTCCCACCTTGGCTTCCTAAAGTGCTAGGATTACAGGCATGAGCCACTGTATTGGCCTTTTTCTTTTTTAAAGGGGTCTAGTTGCAAAGTTCTCATGTAATTGCACGAAACAAATGCTTTGGAACCTAAGACCTAATCTGAAGCATTATAAGCCCCAAACATTTAATGTCACAAACTGTTCATTTATCTACACTTTTGCAGATATATCACTGACCTTTGGTAATTACTCTTTGTCGCAGAGAGAGTCATTTTGTAATCTTTTTGCAGAATGCCGTACTTAGTTGACTATTAGGTTTCTATGTTAGGCACTGTGATTACCCACTTAGTTTCTAAAAAGAGCCATTAACTGCATTTTGGCTCATTTTACCCTTTGGTAATAAAATAAAAGGTACTTCCTTTGTTTCTCAAGCAATAAAAATCTTGTTAATTCACTTTCTCAACTTCAGGTTGTAGAGATGTCAAATACAAGAAACAGCATGTTTTTCAATGACTTACTTATAAGTAGGCTGAAGAAACATAGGAAGATTTCAGCAGAAGAAACTTACAAACACTGAAATAAATTTGATGCTCTGTGTAATTTCAGAAGGCAGAACAAGCACCAAAAGGTAGAAGTTACAGAAATGTAGATGTCAGCTCAAAACAAAACAAACTCCTCACCCAAACAATTTAACAGTTAAAGCTGGTTTGAATACTACTGTCAGGACCACTTGCCTAGAATGTGGCAAAGGCAACTGAAGCCCTGGAGGTAAGGTTGGATTACTAGAAAGGTACATTCTAATAATGTACCTTTCAACACGGATTCCATAATTGGCATTACTATTACGAATTCCTTAAACTCGACGGAACTGATCTTACTGGATTCATGGAGCCAGGTAGTCAAGGTCAGGGTTTTCTGTCCCTGTTTTCCCTGTCTCCTATGTGAAACAGCCCTTGGAAAGTGAGAAAGGCGAGAGACAAAGACGGATTTTTCTGCTATAGTCTCGCAGCGGCCCGCTGTCCAAATAAATTTGGACAACTCTCCTGCAGAATGCCCTCCGGTAAGAAAACGAAGCGTTCCATCCTGAAATGCTCTCTCCCTATGGCAAGAAGGAACAGAGAAGTAGGAGGCAGGAGACAGAGATGTTCTGAAAGGAGGTGCGTTCTCAGGAGAAGGAAGAAGGGGGAACGGTTCCACGTTCCAGAAATCCTGCGCGGCGCTGGAGGGTGGAGGGCTGCGAGTGGCGCGGGGAGGCGGTGTGAAGGGCAGAGAACGGAGTGAGAGGGCTGGCGTCCGGGCCGTGCTGGGGCGGCGTGCGCGAGCGGGTGGCTGGGCGCGCGGGCAGGGGGGACCGCGAGGCAGCGCCACGGGATAGCACGCATGCGCGGAGCCGGGAGCCGAGCAGGACGCTCGACTACCGCCGTCGGGGCCAACCGCCAGGGTTTCGCCCGGCGCCGGCTGCAGCCGCCCTCGCTGCAGCGTGGCGGCCCGGCTCACTCTAGTCCCATCCCCGCCGCCTGGCCAGGCCAGAGCCGCCGACGCCGCGACGCCGGCGTTGAGGGCGGCTGCGACAGCCTCGGGAGCGCGTGAGGCTCCAGGGTCGCGGCGGCGATTGGCCGGCCGCGCCGCCCGCTCCCAGAATGCAGCGCATGGCGCGTCATTGAAGAGAGACCATGATGGCGGCGGCGCTGGGGCCCCCAGAAGTGATCGCTCAGCTGGAGAACGCGGCCAAAGTTCTGATGGTGAGGACGCCGCGCCCCCCGGGCCCCGGGATCCGCGGGCCGCTGGCTGGCCCTGCCACGCCAGTCCTTGCTGCCTGCTGGGCTGGAGACCGGGAAGGGCCTCCAGGGAGCTCTGGAAGTGGAGGAGGAGGTGGCGGTGGCGTGGCGCAGGATTCTCCATCCTACTTTTCCTTCTGCCTTCGTATCCTCCTTCCTGAGGCTGTCCTCTTATCCTGACTGCCCAGTACCCCCGCCGGGTGTGGGAATATAGTCGTGTAGGAAAGAGGGTTTCCTGTGCCACGGGCTTCACCCTACACCTTGCTCTTCAGACCCGGTCGCAGATCTAGGCGCGGGGCGGGAGGTCAGCTTTATCCCGCTGGGCTTGGTTTGGGGAAGCGCTATGTGCGCGCTCCTGGGGAGCTGGTATCGGGAGGGGAGGGATGGCGCGGCCCGCGTGCCGTTAGCAACCCCCGTTCCCTTCGTGCATTAGGGTCCCCTAGCACTTCCCTGACATGCTGCCACCTCTGGGGTAACCGCAGCCGGCAGCACGTGGATGGACCAGCAGGAGGGAGGGAGGGGAATCTTTGAGACCAAGGTCATTGGGGCAAAACTTGGTCCAGTACCGAGCTCCCTTCGCGCATTTTGGAGAACCAAATCTACGGTACTCTTTGATTTCATTCTTACACTACAATAAAGAGTTTGATTAGATTGTTTACTCAGGGAGTTTGAGAAATCCAAGTCAAAGGATAAAAGTATTCCATGCTGGGAGTATAAGTAAAGATAAACTACATTCAGTGTTTGTATTTGCTGGCTCAGCTTTGTTTTTGTAAATAATGACTTCCGTGTTTGTAGATATTTTTGGAAGTTAGATATTTTTGGAAGTTAAGAGGTTCGTGTGATTACTTGAATTGATTCAGACTGTCTAAGAATTGTATGCAGCCAGCTTTGTTGCCTTTTTGAACTTCTTTTCTTTTCCTTTCGGTTTGGTGTAAGTATGTTTGAGCATCACGTTTAAGAATATTTGAATTAATTCTAGCATAGTTTGTAGTTCTGTTAATCAGGTTTTGTTTTCACACAAGGCCAGATATTTTAACTTCTTTAAAAATCACAGTCTAATAAAAACAGGGTTTATTAATATTTGCTTTGTTTATGAGTGAAGTTAATGTATCGTTTTGTCACAAAACTGACGAGTAACGTTTTCAAATTCTTAAGCAAGTCCAGAAATAACTTGCTAGTATCCCCGTTAATACAAGGTTCTTAAAAATCCCTGATAGCGTTTCCTGAAATCCCTGAAATTTTCCTAGGAGCTAGGGACCACGTTTTCATTAGATTCTAGAAAAAGTATGTGACCCAAAAAACACCACCTTAGTTCTTACATTGATCAGATAAAATTAGTGTCCTTCATCATTGACGTGATATAAATGAAGTATTTGTGCTTGCCAGTACATTCCCTCTTCCCCGGGCAAAGCTAAGTTTTATCACCTACCAGGGGATAGGTGAGAAGAATAATAATACTGTTTATTTAGGTACTGTTTATTGAGTGCCAAATATTGGGCTTGATGCTTTACATACTTTAAGTATTTTATTAATCCTTACAACAGCTTTACAAGGTTGAGAAAGAGTTTAGGTGACCTGGGTTACATAATTACTAAGTGGCTGAATTAGGTCTTGAACTCTTCTGTTTGGCCCTAAAGCTGGGTGTCTTTGCACTCTACTCCACCATCTCTCATATATGTCATATAGATAATCTGTTAACATGCTTTATGTCTTTTCGGAGGAGAGTAGTTTTGAAAAAAATGTTATGTTATTAAAAGTAGGAAATTACTTTTTGGAAATTTCCACTTACTATTCAAAAATGTATACCAGAGATGTGTAAGAGTAGCAGTTACTGCATTATTTCTCAGTATGAACACTGTATTCCAATTTATTTTTAATAATAGCTGACATTTGTTGAGTATTTACTATGTTCAAGGAATGGTGCCAACAACTTTACATATATTAGCGTGTTTAATCCTCAGTAACTCTATGAGGTAATTATTATTGCTTTCATTTTCGTTATATAGACTAAGGAACTCAAACATGTGGATGCTAAATAATCTATCCAAATTTACATGGGAAGTAAAACTCAAGTTTGTCTGTTACTAGTCTGTGGTTCTTAACATAGAGGATAGTGGTACCAGAAAGGAGGTAGATTAATCCATTTGGGGATAGTTAAAATTGTTAAAATTTGTTAATGCTCCTTCAATTATTAAGCATTAAAATATATATCTAAAAAAGTGATTTTAGCACGGATAAATAAATCTGTGGGTCTGAGGAAATCTTATTCATAGAAAATTGCTCTATTTTAATTTTTGATATGTTTAAATATTAATATGTTTTGAAATTCAAAGTATAATTAGTAATGTATTTTTAAACTATTTTTGCTTAATTTTTTTATTAAGTAATCCATATAGTTCTTTTATGAAAATCAGCATATTTTAGTGCACAGGACACTCTTAAGAGATCTTTTAGTACAGAGGTCTTAACTGACAGAGGCTAGGATGGATATCAGGAGGAATTTATATCAAATTTTTTTGGTGCAAACATACATTTTTGCTAATGGGATGTTTAGCTTCTATCATCTTCTGTCAGGGACTAGAGACTCTGAAAAATAAGAGCTTAGTCTAAGCATTTTCCCTTCCATTCTGCAGATGGGGAAACAGATTCAAAGAGGTAGAAGTGACTTGCCCAAGGTAGGTCACAGAACAAATCAGTGATATAACTGATCCATATAACCTAGATTACCAGACTCTCATGTCAGAACTTTTACTTTTTTTCTTATAATTTTTTACTCTACCATTTGCTTCTTAAAGTTAACATAATACCATAAATGTTACATTTTATTACTTAGTGGAAAACTTCTAAATGTGGTACATCTATATTCGGTCCTATTTAGGTTATCAGATAAGCTACCAGATAAAGTAGTACAGTCATCCCTTGGCATCTGCCAGGGATTAGTTTCCTGACCCTCCCCTGACACCTGCAGATACCAATATGTGCAGATGCTTGTCTCTTATATACAGTGGCATGGTATTTGCATATAACCTATGCACATCCTCCCATATACTACAGTGTTTTGGTTTTGGAGACACCATTATTGAAAAGTTTATTGTTCCTGTAGTATTAATACTGCATTCATTTGAACCATAAACCCAAAGAATGCTTTATTTATTTATGGTCTTGTATTTCCTTGGTTTTATTTCCCTGTTTCTATTAGGTTGTTTTGGATTGTCCGTAGTGATTGTGTGCAGTGACAATGTAAGATAGTGCACCTATTAACTGATAGTAATACATTATAGAAAACTAATTTCATATATTTGTTTGAAAACCAGAATGGATTTAGTAGGTCTAAATCCAACTTTAATGAAAGGGATTCATGACTGGTTTTCATAGATCTATTATAGTGGAGTTTGGTTAATGTCCTCAAAAGTATGTGCAAATTTGTAGTGTTATACAAAAATTCTTATTTGGGTCTTACATCAATCCTATAAAATAAATAGAATGATGAGATATTCTTAAACCTTATAAATGAGAAAATCCTATATTCAGAGGTGGTGAATGATTTGCCTGTGATCATATAGCTAGATTGGATCTGGAATTCAACCTCTGGCCATTCATTTATTTTAGAACATTTCTTCAGTATGTATAGGTTATGCACTATGCTATGTATGCTGAGGAGCCAGGAGAAGGACCTTCTTTTCAGGGAGTACATAGTCTCATGAGGGAGAAAGGCAAAAATATTAGCCATTGTTGGTTCGTTGGTAATGTTCTAACAGAAGTATGTGCTAGTGTTCTGTGAGAGTACAGAGGACAAACCTCTATCTCAGACTGATGTGGGGACCTAGAAAGGGCTTCTTGGAATAAGACACCCTTAAGCTGAGTCATGAAGACTGAATTGGAGTTTTCCAGTTGCATAAGGGATATCCCAGGTGGAGGGCTATATATGTATGAATGCCTGAGAGAATACTGTTTGGGGAAATACAGTGTGTTTGGGGAATAATTGCACATTCATTTTTTTTTTTTTAATGAGTAGGTATTTCCTGAGCCCCCTCCTGTATATAAGGTATACTGCTTTTATTTTTTTTGGTAACCAATGCACATGTCATAAAATTTTTAATTAAAACAATTTACTTTTCTTATTGGAAAGATCCATATATTGATTGAGCATCTTTATTTCAACTGTCTTTTTTTTTTTTTTTATTTTGAGACAGAGTCTCACTCTGTTGCGTAGGCTAGAGTGCCATGGATGGCTTCAGCCTAGCTCACGGCAACCTCAAACTCCTGGGCTTAAGCAATCCTCCTCCCTCAGCCTCCCAGTTTGCTGGGACCATATGTGTGCACCACCACAGCCAGCTAATTTTTTAATTTTTTGTAAAGACGAGATCTCCTTTGCCCAGGCTGGTCTTGAACTCCTGACCTCAAGCGATGCTCCTGCCTCAGCCTCCCAGGGTGCGAGGATTACAGGTGTGAGCCACTATGTCCGACCAAGATTCGTGGTTTTGCATTTATAAATCAGGTCATTCTGTTTCCACAGATTTATTTAATCATTGCTAGCTAAGCATAACCTTGTTAACAAATAAAAGGGAAAATGTCTTTTGAGTGAGAAAGAGCTAATAAAAAACTAATAAACTTTATTCTGGAGAAGAGAGTGGGATTTACTCTTTATTCATTTGTAATTGTAGGAAAAATTGGGTCCACTATAAAGTGATAGAATATTTTAGAGTAGGGACTTTCAAAACTTAGTATATGGATAATCAATTTTATGGTGATTTCTAAAACTGCAGATGCCTTTGCTTTACCTATAAAGGTTCTGATCTAGTAGGCTGTGTTTCGTTCCATTTCTTCATCTTAAACGGCTTTCTTAGTAGGTCTGAAAGGGCACCAGGCTTGTTGGCC